GAGAGGCCCCTGGGGCTCCGGGGACAGGCACAGGACATGTTGGTGGCGTTGATGGCCAGGAACTTCCCACAGACCACCTTCCACTCCTCCACCTCCTCTGAAGCAGCAAGGACAGGGCAGGTGTTAGTTACACAGGACACAGGCGCCGGCCAGAGGGAGCTGGGCCCAGATGACCTGCGGGCTTCCCGCGGGGTCACCAGGCCACACCTTTACCCCAGGTGCCCTGTCATCGACACCCACTACCTCTACCTGAAGACTGCCCACCTGCCCCAGGACACTGCACCGACAGCCCAAAGGCACAACTGAGCCCCACGGGCTGACTCTGGACCACCTGGAACGGGGTGGCAAACTACAGCCCGCCGGCCGAATCTGGGCCACCACCCGATTTTGTGTGGTCTGGGAGTGAAGGAGGGATTTTATGGGTCTAAATGGTTGAAAAAAGTCAAAACACTCATCCCACTGTGCACCAGGAGAAGGCTGCCGACAGGCAGTGCTCAGTGTCTGTGAAGTTCTGTTGGTACTTGGCCTCACCCACGTCTTTACCCACTGTGGCTGTGGTCACCCCACCGTGGCAGGGCTGGGCAGCCACGGCAGAGACCATATAACCCCTTCCTGGACCTTAACAGCTCAGGGTCCTACTCCAGACACAGGAGCCCTGGCTGGGTATCACAGGAGAAACTCAGGGAGACGGTGTGCATGGGAGTTTCCACAAAATCGACTGTCCCCAAAGTTTGGTGAATGACAGTGATTCGCTGCTACCTGGAGCTAAACAGAGGAGCTCTGGTGGCGTGCTGCCTAAAGCATCTGACTGCTAACCAGGAGGCTGGCGGTTCAAACCCACCAGCCACTCCTTGGAAAGAAGGTTGGGCAATCTACTTCCATTGTGATACCACCTTGGAAACCCAAGGAGGGGTCGCTATGAGTCGGATTCGACTCCACGGGAGTGAGTTTTTGGAACTAAAGAGAAGGCAGGTGTATAGCGGCACAGAGCAGTGAGGATGGACAGTGGACGGACGGACACACTGTGCTGAGGACGGCAGAAGCTGAACAATTTGGCAGCGCAGCGGTGGGGCCGCGGAACTTACCGGCACTCTCCAAGCCGTACAGTGACTTTTTCTGCTCCTCGTCCAGCTGCTGCTTGCTTTGCCTGCAAACAAAGCATCTGAAAGACAAGACCACCGCGGCCTTCTCTTTACTGTGCGTGGCGGCAGGACGCACCTCCGTGCGGCCCCTGCACTAACAGCTCCCCTCTTCTCCTGTGACAGGCGGCCCCACTCCTGGGGCTTCACTGGAAGCACTCCTTGCACGTCGGACTGAACTCTCAGAAGCACCTCCACTTTAAAAATTACTCATTTAATGGTCGTGTCGGGTCTGACTCAGCGACCCGTGGGACAGGGTACAACTGCCG